GAGTCATGCGAGGGGGTGTCACAGGGTGTGGTGCGTGGTTGTGGTTCCATTGCCGAAGGGGGGGGGGGGAGACAGGAATAAAGGGGGGGGGCTGTTGATTTTGGGGGGGTTCCTGGTATATTTGTGTGTGCACACGTGTGTGCAAGGCGAGGGTGCCCGCCATGGCGTGTGTTTGACGTGTGTCATGTATGTGGTTGCGTGTGTGCCCCCCCCCCCCCCCGCAGGCGTGTTCTGGAGCGCGCGGGCGGGCGGGGGCCGGAATTTCCTCAATTTCAGCAATTTTGGCTTTTTTTGTTGGGTTTCATAGAAAAACACTGACGAGAAACCCCGCCCCCCCCCCCCCCCCTTCCCAACCCCCTCCTTCTGTGGGCTGTGGGGCAAGGGGGGGTGGGGGACCATGCCGTGCGTGTCCCCCACCACCACCACAATGGGGACATTGATGTTGGCCCTCACCCCAGCCATGGGATAGGATTTGGGGGGCACCAAAACTGGGGCCCCAAAACTTGGGGGTTGCTGGGGGGGGGCTTGGGCCTCAAATGCCCCCAAACTGGTGTTGGGGGCTTCTGCCCCCCCAAAAAAAAACAGGGGTTGGGGAGTTCCACACCCCAAATTGCCCCCCAAAAAGGGTTTGGAGTGGCCTTGGACCCTCAAATACCCCAAAACTTGGGTTTTGGGGGGTTCCAGCATCCCAGATCCTCCAAACCTTGGGTTTAGTGGGTCCCAGACCCCCAAATTCCTCAAAGCCTGAGTTTGGGGGGGGTCCACCCCCCAAAACCTGGATTTTGGGGTGTCCCAGCCCCCCCCCCGCATCCTCTATAACCTGCACTGGGGGGGTCCTTGGCAATGGGGGGCGAGGGGGGGCTGGACTGCACCCCCCCACTTTGCCCTCTCATTGACCCCCTCTATCCCTTACCCCCTGTGTCCCCCCCCCAGGATGGATGCAGCTCCTTGGGTCCCCCCCATTCCCCCACCCCCCCACCCCTGGCAGCATCTCCCACTCTCCGGGGGGGGTATAACACCATTTTGGGGGACCCGGGGTGGGGTTTTGGGGTGCTCCTGACCCCCCCTATGTGCTCCCCCCCCCAGCCGTGGAGACCCCAAGCCGCAGTGGGGAGGAGATGGTGCCCAGCTCGCCCTCGCCGCCCCCCCCGCCCCGCGTCTACAAGCCCTGCTTCGTCTGCAGCGACAAGTCCTCGGGGTACCACTATGGGGTCAGCTCCTGCGAGGGCTGCAAGGTGGGGTACAGGGGTTGGGGCATGGGCACCTCTGGGACCCTATAGGGGGAGTGAGGACCCCCCCCCCTCCCTGAACACATGGGAGGAGATGGGAGCACCCATCCAGGACCCATGGGGGGAGTGGGGAAGGCTCCTGGGTACTGGGAACCTATGGGGGGACCCCGGCACTGGGGATGCCCCCCCCCAATCCCATGGGGGGAGTAGGGAATCCCTGGGACCCACAGTGGGATTGGGGAAGTCCCAGGGTGCTGGGGACCCTGTGGGGGCACTGGGGACCCCTTGGAGATACTGGGGACCCCCATGGCATGGGGATCTTGCTCAGTGGGCACTGGGGAACCCCCTGGGAGTGTTGGGGATGCCCTGGGGGGGGGGCCCCCCCCAGTGATACAGGTGAGCAGCCCATAGACACTGTGGAGCCATCACTGGGGGCTGTTGGGGAGCTGAACCTGAGCATCGCAGTTGTGGGGTGACTTGGGGGTCCCCAAGAGGTGGTTCCAGCCCCCCCCCCCCCCTTTTCACCCCCCCTGTCCCCCCCCAGGGCTTCTTCCGCCGCAGCATCCAGAAGAACATGGTGTACACGTGCCACCGGGACAAGAACTGCCAGATCAACAAGGTGACGCGGAACCGGTGCCAGTTCTGCCGCCTCCAGAAGTGCTTCGAGGTTGGCATGTCCAAGGAAGGTGCGGCCCAGGGCCTGGGGGGGGCACCCCGATACGTCCCGTGTCCCCCCCACCCAACCTAAAGCATCAGTAGCAGTGTGTACCCCATGGAGCTGGCCCCTCGCAATGGGGTGTTCCCCGGTTTGGGGCACCCCCATCTTTTGGGGGGGGGGGGGTGTTTGTAGGGTGCAGCCAAGGGCCTGGGGGGGGTTCCTTGGGGCCGGGGGGGGCACCCCGATACGTCCCGTGTCCCCCCCACTCAACCTAAAGCATCAGTAGCAGTGTGTACCCCATGCAGCTGGCCCCTCGCAATGGGGTGTTCTCCAGTTTGGGGGGGGTTGGGGCACCCCATCTTTTGGAGGGGTGTATGTGTTTGTAGGGTGCGGCCAAGGGCCTGGGGGGGGTTCCTTGGGGCGGGAGAGGGCACCCCGATACGTCCCGTGTCCCCCCCACCCAACCTAAAGCATCAGTAGCAGTGTGTACCCCATGGAGCTGGCCCCTCGCAATGGGGTGTTCCCCGGTTTGGGGCACCCCCATCTTTTGGGGGGGGATGTGTGTGTTTGTAGGGTGCAGCCAAGGGCCTGGGGGGGGGGTTCCTTGGGGCGGGGGGGGCACCCCAGGTCCGTGTCCCCCCCACCCAACCTAAAGCATCAGTAGCAGTGTGTACCCCATGGAGCTGGCCCCTCGCAATGGGGTGTTCTCCAGTTTGGGGGGGTTTGGGGCACCCCCATCTTTTGTAGGGGTGTATGTGTTTGTAGGGTGCGGCCAAGGGCCTGGGGGGGGTTCCTTGGGGCGGGAGAGGGCACCCCGATACGTCCCGTGTCCCCCCCACCTAACTTAAAGCATCAGTAGCAGTGTGTACCCCATGGAGCTGGCCCCTCGCAATGGGGTGTTCTCCAGTTTGGGGGGGTTTGGGGCACCCCCATCTTTTGGAGGGGTGTATATGTTTGTAGGGTGCGGCCAAGGGCCTGGGGGGGGATCCTTGGGGCGGGAGAGGGCACCCCGATACGTCCCGTGTCCCCCCCACCTAACTTAAAGCATCAGTAGCAGTGTGTACCCCATGGAGCTGGCCCCTTGCAATGGGGTGTTCCCCGGTTTGGGGCACCCCCATCTTTTGGGGGGGGATGTGTGTGTTTGTAGGGTGCAGCCAAGGGCCTGGGGGGGGGGGTTCCTTGGGGCGGGGGGGGGCACCCCGATGCATCCCATGTCCCCCCCACCTAACTTAAAGCATCAGTTCCAGTGTGTACCCCATGGAGCTGGCCCCTCGCAATCGGGTGTTCTCCAGTTTGGGGGGGTTTGTGGCACCCCCATCTTTTGGGGGGGATGTGTGTGTTTGTAGGGTGCAGCCAAGGGCCTGGGGGGGGGGGTTCCTTGGGGCGGGGGGGGCACCCCGATACATCCCGTGTCCCCCCCACCCAACCTAAAGCATCAGTAGCAGTGTGTACCCCATGGAGCTGGCCCCTCACAATGGGGTGTTCCCTGGTTTGGGGCACCCCCATCTTTTGGGGGGGGGGGGGGTGTTTGTAGGGTGCAGCCAAGGGCCTGGGGGGGGGTCCTTGGGGCGGGAGAGGGCACCCCGATACGTCCCGTGTCCCCCCCACCCAACCTAAAGCATCAGTAGCAGTGTGTACCCCATGGAGCTGGCCCCTCGCAATGGGGTGTTCTCCAGTTTGGGGGGGTTTGGTGCACCCCCATCTTTTGGAGGGGTGTATGTGTTTGTAGGGTGCGGCCAAGGGCCTGGGGGGGGGTTCCTTGGGGCGGGAGGGGCACCCCGATATGTCCCGTGTCCCCCCCACCTAACTTAAAGCATCAGTAGCAGTGTGTACCCCATGGAGCTGGCCCCTCGCAATGGGGTGTTCTCCAGTTTGGGGGGGGGGTTTGGGGCACCCCCATCTTTTGGGGGGGGTGTGTTGTGTGCCCCCACCTTGTGGGGGGGCTTTGGGATCCCTTCCAGCCGCATTGTGCTATATGTGGATATCCTGCTGGCGCATCCTGTGCCGGTGCAAAGAGGGGGGGGGGGGGGGCAGGAAGCACGGCATGGGGAAGGGGTGAGGGGCACCCCCAAACCTCCCCCTTGACCCCCCCCTTTCGCCCCACAGCCGTTCGCAATGACAGGAACAAGAAGAAGAAGGAGGTGAAGGAGGAGGCCACGGTTGAGAGCTACGAGCTGAGCCCCGAGCTGGAGGAGCTGGTGCAGAAGGTCAGCAAAGCCCATCAGGAGACCTTCCCCTCGCTGTGCCAGCTGGGCAAGTACACCATGGTGAGCCCCACGGGAGGGCCGGGGGGGGTTGGCTGGGGCTTAGGGGGCACCCCACCAGCAGCCCCATAACCCCATCCCCGTGTGCGTTTCGCCCCCAAGGACGCGAGCGCTGAGCGCCGGGTGCAGCTGGACCCGGGGCTGTGGGACAAGTTCAGCGAGTTGGCCACCAAATGCATCATCAAGATCGTGGAGTTCGCCAAGCGCCTGCCCGGCTTCACGGCGCTCAGCATGGCCGATCAGATCACCCTGCTCAAGGCAGCGTGCCTGGACATCCTGGTGAGGCCCCGCGTCCATCGGGAGCGGTGTTTGGGTCCGCAGTGCGGTGGGATGCGGGCGAGCTGGTGATGGGCTGTGTGGATGGAGCGGAGGACATGGATGGGATCCAGAGGGATCTGGATGCGCTGGGAAACCTCATGGAGCTCAACAGGGCCAAGGGCAAGGTTCTGCCCCTGGGTTGGGGCAATCCCAGGTGCAGGTGGGGTGGAGGAGTGATTCAGAGCAGCAGGAGGAGAACTTGAGGCTGTTGGGTGAGGAGCTGCCCATAACGCTCGCTGAGCCCAGAACTGCCCCCCCCGTGTGCTGGGCTGCACCCCCAGAGCGTGAGCAGCAGCTCAGGGAGGGGATCCTGCCCCTCTGCTGAGCTCTGTGGGACCCCTCCTGCAGTCCTGACCCAGCTCTGGGGCAGCAGCACAAGAGGGACGTGGAGCTGCTGGAGCGAGGCCATGGAGATGCTGCGAGGGCTCCTTAAGGGGAGACCTGAGAGGAGCTCCAGTGCCTGAAGGGGCTGCAGGGAACCTGGAGAGGGGCTTGGGACAAGGGCCTGTAGGGACAGGACAAGGGGAATGGCTTGAACCTGCCAGAGGGGAGACTGAGCTGAGCTCTTAGGCAGAAGCTCTTCCCTGTGAGGGTGCTGAGGCGCTGGCACAGGGTGCCCAGAGAAGCTGTGGCTGCCCCATCCCTGGCAGTGTTCAAGGCCAGGTTGGACACAGGGGCTCGGAGCCCCCTGCTCCAGCAGAAGGGGTCCCTGGGCGCCGTGACTCCGTGCCCCCCGTGCACCCCACAGATGCTGCGGATCTGCACGCGGTACACCCCGGAGCAGGACACGATGACGTTCTCGGACGGGCTCACCCTGAACCGTACCCAGATGCACAACGCCGGCTTCGGGCCCCTCACCGACCTGGTGTTCGCCTTCGCCGGGCAGCTCCTGCCCCTGCAGATGGATGACACCGAAACCGGGCTGCTCAGTGCCATCTGCCTCATCTGCGGAGGTGATGGGGACATGGGGACATGGGGGCATCCAGCCCGGGGCTGCGGGGACAGGAGGAAGCGGGGGCAAGGGGACCTCCAAGTCAGGGGGTAGCAGGAACGTGGGGACATGGGGATCTCTGGACCAGGACACAGCAGGGATGTGGGGAAACGGGGACCTCTGGATGATGGGGCAGCAAGGACATAGGGACCTGTGGGTCAGGAGGAAGTGGGAACACGGGGACCTCCAGGCCAGGATACAGCAGGGATGTGGGGACCTCTGGATGATGGGGCAGCAAGGATATAGGGACCTGTGGGTCAGGAGGAAGTGGGAACACAGGGACCTCCAGGCAAGGATACAGCAGGGATGTGGGGACCTCTGGATGATGGGGCAGCAAGGATATAGGGACCTGTGGGTCAGGAGGAAGTGGGAACACGGGGACCTCCTGGCCAGGATACAGCAGGGATGTGGGGACCTCTGGATCAGGAGGAAGTGGGGACAAGGGAATACCAGGAGCATGAGGATCTCTGGGCCAGCAGGTAATGGGGACATGGGGATGTAGGGACATGGGATGTCCAGACCCAGCTGGACATGTGGGGACATGGGAACTTGTGGGGAGCACAGGGACGTTGGGACCTCAGGGCAGGAGGTAGCAGGGACGTGGGGATGGAGGGACATGGAGACAGGGCACATCTGCCAGGCAGTAGCAGGGGCATGGGGACCTTTGGGTCAGCAGATAGGAAGGCCATACAGATGTAGGAACATCTGGGTCAGGACGTGGAGGGACATGAGACCATGGGAACATCTGGATGATGAGGCAATAGGGACAAAGGGACATGGGGATCCTGGGTTGGATGTCAGGGCGATGGGGATGGAGGGACATGGGGACAGGGCTCAGGCGGTACCTGGGATGCAGTGACTCGGGGACCCCTATAGGACACGGGGGGGTCTCGGGGGGCTCTGAGCCCGGTGTGTGTGTGTGTCCCCCCACCCCAGACCGGCAGGACCTGGAGGAGCCGGAGCAAGTGGAGCGGCTGCAGGAGCCGCTGCTGGAGGCGCTCAAGGTGTACGCGCGGCGGCGGCGGCCGCGCCAGCCCCACATGTTCCCGAGGATGCTCATGAAGATCACGGACCTGCGAGGCATCAGCACCAAGGGTGCGCTGGGGGGGGGGTTGTGTGTGGGGTGGGGGGCTCTATGGGGGTGTGATGCTCACAGGGGCTTGTGTGTGGGGTGGGGAGCTCTATGGGGGTGTGATGCTCTCAGGGGCTTGTGTGTGGGGTGGGGAGCTCTATGGGGGTGTGATGCTCACAGGGGCTTGTGTGTGGGGTGGGCAGCTCTATGGGGGTGTGATGCTCACAGGGGCTTGTGTGTGGGGTGGGGAGCTCTGTGGGGGTGTGATGCTCACAGGGGCTTGTGTGTGGGGTGGGGAGCTCTATGGGGGTGTGATGCTCTCAGGGGCTTGTGTGTGGGGTGGGGAGCTCTATGGGGGTGTGATGCTCTCAGGGGCTTGTGTGTGGGGTGGGGAGCTCTTGTGTGTGGGGTGGGGATGGGTGGTGTGATGCTCTCAGGGGCTTGTGTGTGGGGTGGGGGGCTCTATGGGGAGAGGGATGCTCACAGGGGCTTGTGTGTGGCGTGGGCAGCTCTGTGGGGGTGTGATGCTCACAGGGGCTTGTGTGTGGGGTGATGAGCTCTTTAGGGGAGAGTGATGGTCACAGGGGCTTGTTCATGGGGGGAGCTCTGTAGGGGGGAGCTCTTTGGGGGGTGTGATGGTCACAGGGGCTTGTCCATGGGGTGGGGAGCTCTATAGGGAGGAGCTCTTTAGGGGAGGGTGGTGCTCACAGGGGCTTGTCCATGGGGTGGGGAGCTCTATAGGGAGGAGCTCTATAGGGGGGAGTGATGCTCACAGGGGCTTGTCCATGGGGTGGGGAGCTCTTAGGGGGGAGTGATGCTCAGGGGTTTGTGCATGTGGGGGGGGAGCTCTGTAGGGAGGAAGCCCATAAGAGAGCACATAGGGGAAATGGGGTGCTCAGGGGGGCTTGCGCCTGCAGGGCGGGGGGGTTCTTGGAGGGGCTTTGCCTGGGGTGCTCGAGGGCTGATGCTGGGGCGCACAGGGAAGCATTGGGTGGAACTCCCATTGGGGGGTGCTAAGAGGGGATCGGGGGGGGCTCATGGGGGGGGCCGGGGGGTCTGTCACTGACGGGGGGGTCCCGCAGGCGCGGAGCGAGCCATCACGCTGAAGATGGAGATCCCGGGGCCGATGCCCCCCCTCATCCGGGAGATGCTGGAGAACCCTGAGATGTTCCAGGAGGAGGAGGAGGAAGGGGGGGGGCAGCCCCCTCCGGATCCCCCCCCGGCCCAGGACAGCCCCCCCGGGCCCCCCTCTTCCTCCCCATAGCTTCCCCCCGCCACCAACCCGCTCGGGGGTGGGGGGGGGCATTGTGTGTCCCCCCCTCTCCATGGGTTGGACATTCACAACAGCCTTCCAGGGCCCCCCCCCTTTGCTCCGGGGGGGGGGGAACCCCAACTGTGCCCCCCCCCAAATGTGGGGGGGCTCCAGAGACTGATGGAGCCGCGCGGGGGGGACCCCGCGGCACAGCTATTGCCTTAAGCTGGGGGGCCCGGGGGGGCCCCCCCACCCCAACCTCAGCTTCACGCCAAAGCCCCCCCCCCTCCCAGCCCCACTGCCCCC